GCAGCAGCAGCAGCAGCAGCAGCAGCAGCAGCAGCAGCAGCAGCAGCAGCAGCAGCAGCAGCAGCAGCGTGTTTTCTTTTGTTATATACACAACACACGATAGTAGCATCCACGTGGTGTCTCCTTCTGTCTCCTTTTGTCTCCTTTTGTTTTTTCTTTTGTTTCTTTTTTGTTTCTTTTTTGTTTCTTTTTTGTTTCTTTTTTTGTTTTTTTAATCTCTTTTTGTCTCTTTTACTGTCTCCTTTTGTCTCTTCTTTTGTCTCCTTTTGTCTCCTTTTGTTTTTTCTTTTGTTTCTTTTTTGTTTTTTTCTTTTGTTTCTTCTCTTGTTTTTTCTTTTGTTTCTTTTTTCTTATCTCTTTTTGTCTCTTTTGCTGTCTCCTTTTGTCTCCTTTTGTTTTTTCTTTTTTTTCTTTTTGTCTCTTTTACTGTCTCCTTTTGTCTCTTCTTTTGTCTCTTCTTTTGTCTCCTTCTTTCTTTTTCTGTCTCCTTTTCGTTGTATATTTATTTGTCTCTTTGTATTTCTTTCTTTCTCTCTTTCTTTCTCTCTTTCTTTCTCTCTTTCTTTCTGTCTCCTTCTCTATCTTTTCTTTTTTTTCTTTCTTTCTCTCTTTCTCTGTTTTCTCCGTCTCTTTCTTTACTTCTCTCTTTCTTTCTTTTTTTCTTTATTTTTTTCTTTCTTTCTGTCTCCTCTATCTTTTTCTTTTTTTTTCTTTGTTTCTCTCTCTGTCTCTCTCTGTCTCTTTTTTTCTGTCTCTTTCTGTCTCTTTCTTTCTGTCTCTCTTCTATCTCTATCTCTTTATTTTTTATTAATTTTATTGTCTCTGTGTGTCTGTATCTCCCTCATTCTTCTTTTTCTTTTTCTTTTTCTCTCTTTCTTTCTCTCTTTCTTTTTTTCTTTTTTTTTTATTTCCTTTCTTTCTTTCTGTTTCTGTTTGTGTATCTATCTGATAAATATCCAATAAAAAACCCAAACAAAAACAAAAAAGGTGTTTAGGGTTTAGGGTTTAGGGTTTAGGGTTTAGGGTTTAGTATGTGTTGGGGTGTATATGCAGGTCTCGTTACCGTTCTTTAGCAGCTCATCGTTTGGCGTTTCGTTTTATATTTTGTGGTTGTTTACATTTATTATTTTTATTCCCTTTATTAATATTATTTTTATTTTTTTTATTTTTAAAATATACAGAAGATATAAGGAGAAGTTATATATCTTTTTCAGCTAGCTACCAATTCACACCGCTAGCTAGCTGGCTAGTTAGAGAGTATAACGAGCTACCTCACCAGCTAGCTACACGGCTAGCTGCAGCTAGCCATGCTGCAGATGCATATTTGTTGCTGCAGCAGCAGAACCCAATAAAACAAAAATTTATAAATACAATAAAATATATTTGTGGCTCCGTTCTTGCTCTTTGTCTCCTTCTCTATCTAACCCAAGAGCTTCCTCTTCTTTTTCTTTCTGCTGGCGGCAGCAGCCTGCTAGGTTTTACTTTTTTCTTGGGGTTTTTATATGCTGCTCTCAGCAGCAGCAGCAGCAGCAGCAGCAGCAGCAGCAGCAGCAATTTCAACCACCCATCTAATGGTTTTGACCCCAGCAGCAGCAGCAGCAGCAGCAGCAGCAGCAGCAGAAACGCAGATAGATACGCCATAGAAGAAGGAACAGCAGGGCTTGCAGGGGGTAAGCTATTCATATATCATCTGCTGCTGCTGCTGCTGCTGCTGTGGCTGCTGCTGCTGCTGCTGCTGCTGCTGCTGCTGCTGCTGGTGCTGCTGCTGGTGCTGCTGCTGCTGCTG